AAACAGAACTCCGATTGTATACTTAGAATCTATAAGTGAAGAGCTATATAGGATGCTAAAAGGAGAACTATATATACAGGTTTTGGGAGCCCTAATGGCTAGGCCCAAAGGAGTGAAAGAAGAACTAGAGATAAGTATTGTACAATGCCTAGGTCTAGAGCTATAGAGCTAGAGCTAGAGCTAGAGCTCTAAATTACAAAAGGAAGGTTTAAAAGAACTTTTATATTATATTATATAAGGAGTATGAGCTAGTGGATGGAAGAGAGCCATCTGTTTCGTCACAATCAATACGAATTCGAAATTATATTACTTGTAATACTCAAGGATCTCTACTCTACTTCACTTCATCTATTTAGCTATAACAATAACAATAGTAAATTTTAGCAAATAATAGATAATATAATTATAAAATCATAAACCCTTTTATTCTTTCACTAGAACCGGAACCGCAACCGCAACCGCTAGAACTAAACGCAGAAAACTAGATTGTATTCGTAAAAATGTATTATCTATCTATTTACAATATATTATACTATTTCATCCCATCTAAATAATCCCATCTAATTTATCTCATCCGTAAACTATATATAAGCCGATTACTATACATTACCGGTACTTGTTTTGATCAAGAAAACAAAACAAAATAATAATAAAATTGTGAAGGATCACAAGCAGGGAATAGGCCAAATAGTATCAGTACTACAGTTGGGGTATAGTTTGTACAGAACTGAACTCATACCACTGCCAGGGTGGTATGAGGGTAGTTCTTTATAGATTTCAGTACGAACTAACTAATAAAGAACAAAGGATATGAAAGGATACGGAGTATCCTTTCACATCCACGCTTTTCCGGCTAGTCCCCGGAAGGGGATTAGTTTCTACGCGGTGACAAAAATGCTATAACTTCAACTTCAGGGTTGTAGAATAGAGATATATGTATATATACTATACAGGATTCCCTACTACTATATGTGTCCCTGATTAGGGTCTAGAATAATTCCCGTGTTTGAGTGCGATAATGCGAGAAATCAATTTTCTATTTTTAAAAAGGTGGTAGAGAGGGAGTGGAGGGTGTTTAAATTTGTATCTAGAACTCTAGAGCATCTACGTCTTCTTCTTCTTCTTCGTCGAAAGATCTAGATGTGCATGTATACATGTCATATAGCTAGCTAGGTAAAAGTCAGGTCAGGACTGTCAGGTCTGGTGTAGTGTGATATGTCGAAGGTAAATAATTTAATCATCGATTGATTGATTGATTGGCAATGATTGCTCTAGCATATACACAGTTATATATATGCTCAAGTATATATAAGCGAATGAAGCAATAAATACATAATATTATAGTAGTACAAAAACAAAGATCCCATACTCAAGTAGTATTATTCTATATCTTGTGAAAAACAAACTATAAAGTCATTTCTTCTACTTCAGGACAGGATTGAAGAAACTTGATTTTATATATATATATATATATATACATACTTTTTCACAGATGGAAAAAGGTGCCCGAATTATGCTCTCCTCATACCATATAAGCTTATATGATATAACGCTAATATCACCCTACTACACCATCTCATACCACCAATCTATAACCGCACCACCAGCCACGATTTTAATTTTACTGCGACGTCACTCTCGCTACCCCTTTCACACCCACACCCACACCCATCAACAGATCCCTAAACAACGAACGACGCATGCATTTCACCATTCGCCATTCGCCATTCGCCATTCGCGAACTATACAAGTAAATATTTGCAATTAGATTACAAATCTACAATTACAGAAAAGAATATCTATGAGATCTTTAGCTTAAATCAGATTACACATCATAAATTATACTTAAGTACGACATTTAAAACAATCCCATCCCATCCCATACCCAAGAATCTCGTATATATTATATTACTCGAGTATGTATTCATCACAAACCTTCAACCTTCCCCCCAAAACCTCAACACCTTAACACCATTCATCCATCTATCCATCAAATATAAATAGCACTTCGAAATCGTGCATCGCATCGCATCGCATCGCATCGCATCTCAGCCCAGCCATCCATATATACAACCATACATACATATATACATCCATATATCCATACATACATACATACATACATCCATCCCCAAGAATCCCATCCCCCAGAATCCCAGATATCCGCAAGTACCCGCCACAAAAGTATAATCTTTAAACATGAAATCCACCCACCACCATTCACATCACACATCACATATTGCAGCTGCTAATTAGTAATTAATTAGTAATCAATAACAACTCATTATACTACTCGAGTATATACATATATGCATATATACATATAAATATAAACATAAATCTTAAACTTAAACATAAACATAAATAATAAACAAGAACCTAATCAATACTATCTACCTACTTACTTACTTACTATACATAATCATACCAATACCCCATTCATTTACTCGAGCCTGAGTATATAAAATAGCAATTCTCACTTCAATTCTAACTTCAAGTCACCAGATCAGATCCATCTCTCTAGTTCCATCTCCAACTCCAACTCCAACTCTAAAATTATAGAATAAATCAAAAGAAGATGAATAGAGGGATAAGGATAGAAATGAAATATATACAACAGGATATCTATCTATCCAGTGCAAGATTTGCACCCGCAAAATATTCAAGGGTCAGAATCTTACTACACATCACATCACATCACAGCACATCACATACTCTCCTCACCATGAATAACCCCTCAAAAATTCAAAAATTCAAAAATTCAAATCGAGAATATTTGTGAATTTTGTATATCTATCCATTTCTCATCCAACCAATACTATATACATACATACCACTCATTCTATATACTACCCTCCTCCCCCCTCTCCTTTCTTATCCCATACCTTTTCCCATCTATTATTATTCATTACTTTTCTCCCATTTTCCCATCCATACCGTAACCTTACGCCACAAAATTAATTACAATTTAAATTTTCGAGTATAAAATAATGTAATGAATAATGTACTGTAGGCCATCCCTTCATCCATTAAATACAACCACCACCTAGTTAAGCCATCGTACTATATCTAATCATGCATCCATCCATTCATTCCCGCTTACTAGATCTTAATTTCGATTCTTATCACCCTAAGCGACCCCCTATCCCGCAGTAGTTAAAACATAACTAGTAATAGCACTCATCCTCTCACTAGTCAGCTTCAGACCAATCCTCAACAACTCCTGCGCAACCTCTTTATCCTTCTCCTGCAACAATTCCCAATCCCCTTTATTCATTAACCACGCCACACAATCTCTTTCCGCCACCACAGTCGCCGTACGATTCGTTTCGGAGAAAAATGGCAATTCTCCACACGTTGTTCCGGCAACGATACTCTCGAAATAGCGACCTTGAGGTAACTCGTAATCGGCGCGTAAAATACCTTCTTCGAGGAGATAGAAACCTTTTGCTGGTTCGCCGCGACGGTAGAGTGTTGTGCCGGCCAGGTATTCTTTGCGCGTGAAGAAGGGGATGACGCGGAACCAAAAATCTTCATTTTTCTCCGTGAGACCTTGGAAGGTTTGGAGAATTAAGCGAAGAGGTTCTTTGAAATTCGAGTATTTGATATCGGGTACGGAAGTTTCCTCCAAAGCATTAGTAGCCATTTGGAAAAGTTGGCTACGCCTTGGAGAACTGAACTGAGTATCGAAAGAATGTGAGAATGATTTGCCGCGGCTTCTGCTTGTGGGTACCTCTAGATGATCGGTGGTAGCATTTCGACTGGCGCGAGCTTGTTGACTAGCGTAAAATGTTTTCAATAACTCATTCTCACAACATTCTAGTGCGGAATTCAGATCGTCAAATAATGTGACGTCGTTACCATCTTCAATCACTTGACCTTGGCCAAGACCAACGGATCTAAGATGGCTTCCTAGAGGACCTTCTGGGTCAATACCACTAAGAGATAAAGTAACACCTTTCTTGCTGAAAATTCGATTCAACCGAAGAAATGCCTCTGCGGCGGAATAATCAATTCCTGTCACATGGTAGAGATCAAATATCAAGAAACGTATTGGTCTTTCGGTGAATGCTTCGTCTTCGACCAATGCACGAATACGTTCTTCGACACTGACAATAGTGCCAAAGAAAAGATATCCAGCCAGCTTTGTGACATGAATTTGCTGGCCCACATCGCGAAGGTAGCGGGACTGAGTAGCGTTTCTACGAACTGTGGATCCAGCTATCTCACCAGAGTAAGATGCTCTAACTGCTGGGATTCTAGAGGTCTGGACTACCAAGGATACGAATGCGAGGCCAATGCCCAGGAAAATGCCAGCGACAAAATCATAGATCCCCATCGTGATCACTATGATACACACCTGGAGATGTTAGCTTCTTTCGGACAGGGCAAGGCAAAACAACTCAAACATGTGCGGGTAATAAAATCCGAATGGATTGTTGTGGAACATCAAACTTACTGTCAAATACTCAAGGGGCTTCAACTTCTTTCTTGGTACCCATATAGCTTCAACCAAAAGTTCGAAGCCAAGCACAAAGATGAGAGCCCCAACCATCATGACCGGTATGTACCCGATTAGAATAAGTCCATACATCAAAATGCCGAAAGTAGCGAAAGCAAGCAAAATACCAGCTAGACGAGTACCTCCTGATCTCATAAAGAGTATTGAATTGGTGTACACCAGATAATTTTGAACACTTCCTGCAAAGCCAGATAGCATATTTGAGATACCGTGTGCGATTAGTTCTCGATCCAAGTTGAGATTATCCTCTCCAACGTTGATGGCCAACGCTGGAACATTAATTGGAACATGTAAGAGTCCAAAAAATGTCAGAGCAAACATGGCGGGGACTGTTTCAAGAATGGCGTCCCAACGAACAAGATGAAACTTGTACAAGGTCCAGAAGTACCACCACGGCTCATCAGCCTCGGGTCCCTCAAAAATCCAACCATTCCGACGGAGGTTGGGTATTTCCAGCTCATCCAATGAGAGAACGAAAAAGTAGAATACTGCTGGAATGACCATGATAACGGCAGACAAATAAAATTTCGAGGTAACTTTGGTTTGCGACCAGACGATGAACAGAGCTATGGCGAAAGGAATAGCCCATAAAGCAATGGTATCGGACTCAAACATCTTATGTAGAGTGTTCAAATCATAATTCAAATTTCCATCCAGGCGTGCTGTAACCTCAAACCCAGTAGCAATGAGAAACCAGCCAACGCCACCAATGCATCCAATGAGTATGTGTCTAGGAATAAACCCAACGATGTAACCAAAGCCACATGTTCCCATGAGGAAGAATACAAGGCCAGTCAGAACTGAACTGATCGCATATGACGTGATAGTTGTTGCGATGACGGCTTCGGGATTATCTTCGCCAACCACTTCCATTATCGTAAACGCCATTTTGTGAAAAAATGGTACAACTTCTATCATTTCGCTACCAATCCCTCCTTTGAATGTACTCATACCGCATGAGAACACCAATTGCGAGATAATCGTGCTCACGTAAAATATGGAAATGCCAGCAGCGCCAAGTTTTTCGAAGATTGGCTGTCCAAGAGGGAATAAGATCTGTAGGAAAAAATGTTAGCATGTATTATGCATCATCCGAGTATAAAACATTCTAGGTTTACTAGGACAATGGCTTGCGATGAACCAATGGAGGATAGAGGTGAAGGAAACAGCGGAAATGAACCCGGGAATTGGAGCTCACGTCACCAATTCTTGAAGTCTTGTATGATCAGTGATAAGTAGCAATCAAAACGTACCATTCCATATGATAATGCATCCAAAATATTGAGTAGAATTCCTAAAAGTACAGATGGAAGAGATTGAACGGGTGCCACGAGACAGTTTTGCCATATTGCCTTTCTATCCCAGCGCTTGGGGTTGAAGGCAGTTTCGACAACGACAGTGCCTCGATCTTTGGTCGATCTCAGGACATTCCGTAGCTTTGGCCAAGTCGGCGACTTTTTGGTATGTAGGCTTTCGAGATCTCGATCCCCTCTTATCCAATCGGGGTGAGAATGTGAAGATGAGACCTTGGACAATAAGGGTGTGCGTTCCGTCGAGTCCATCTTGACGCCTTGCGAGGTGATTATAAGACGGCCATTCCGCGAATTGGAATCACTTTGACCATTTTCAGTGGCTCCATAGTCCAATGCCCCATCTTTGTTCGGCGGTGATGTACTTGGAGGGGAAGTTCTGAGCATATTAGCTATAGCAGATGCGCTTTGTGGAAGGCTGCTTGAAGAGCCTTCCTCTGGAGTGACTGGCTCAGACACTTCTTCTATAGTTTCGTGACGTGAATATTCGCTTTCTCGATTTGGTCTTGACTCGTCTTCACCTCCATTAAAGTGTGTTTCAAGGTGCACCTGTGCTGTGCGTGGTCGAGTTGGGGAGGGAGGACCTGGGGCTGGTGTTTCGGACAGGGCATATGACGCAAGCTCGGCCGTATCTTCCCTAACACTGCGGGCATACTGTGCACTGTCTACCGGGGCTGTGATGTCGTTAGAGCATATTCAATTCTGATATCTCGTGGGGATATATGAGATGGTCTTACCTAGGTCTCCACGATAGGAGAGATGAACAAACGAACGTGTAGGATGGTATTGGTGTGAAGCGCCGGAAGTATTGGAAGTCGAAGTTTGTTGTGTGGATTGACCTCGAAGGGAGCCGTGATTCACTTCGGATTGCGTATTGGAGGCATTATCTTGCGAACCAGAAGAATTAGGAATCAAGCGAGGAGTTGTGTATGATGACACGGAATCTCCATGACGCCGAGCTGGCCCAGGAGTCGATGAGGGGAATGTCATTATGTCCAGTCGTCCCTGCAAGCAAAAGGTGTGCTATCCAAATTCCGTATCTGCCTCACCCTCGCAGAGCGCAGAAGCAAGGTCTACAGGAAGATAATGTAAGATGCGAGTGAATGTTGACGAATAAAATTGAATTACGGAAAAGTAAAAATGGTTAAGATAAAGTTCGCTCCTAGTTTCCCTTAGTTTTAGTTCAACGGAGCTTGGAATTGGTTGTTTGATGGTTCGCTCCCAGGAAATTCCTTGCAACTTAAATAAATATGGTGGAGATATTGAATTGTAGATAAAATACATGAGGCAAAATACAATATTAAGAGTATGTACTAAGTAGAAAAGTGCTACTGTAGTGTGAAAAAGATAATTGAATATGGTTATTGTTATGAAAGAAATGTATGATATGATACGTTTGCGTGTATTTGCGTGTTCGGTGCAAGAAATTCTTTTTTTTGCAAAGGAGAATGGGGAATAGCTTTCCCTCTCTGCCATGGTTTTGCATAATAAGCCATTGATATCCATGAAAGTTCTCCACTTATACCTTGAACAAATACAGGTTGTGGGATCGGGATGCAGCCATTGATTACCGGATGGTAGACGCAGGCGACTGACTATTCATGACAGCTTGGAGAGTCTCGACCAACACCGGGCTAGTCTGCCACTGCCAGTATACTGAGCACAATGCACAATGCACATCCACCTATCCACCTTGTCGTCGACCCCCTCGATGAAAATTGGGGTTGTAGTGGGGTCACGTCACCGGAATGTTTTGTTTCTTTTTTTTTGGCAGGGAGTCCAAATTCGGTATACGATCCTTACCAATTAATCTTTTATGTTGTATTCATGACATTTTTCGAACCTTGTGTTACTACACGATTGATTGATTGTCAATATTTATTGGAACTATAATTCGTAGATTTCTTGAATGAATTAGAAACGAAAAACTCAGTGTTTTTGTACTCTTTAGAATTTAAATTGATCGTTTTCCTACAGTACTGAGTATCTAATTATAATTATCAAGATCTTCATAATCAGATGCTAATGTCATCAATGATCAAACCCCTTCATTTGTTTGCATGTGCTGCGAAAACGGCTGCAACGATCTCCTCATCTGCGCCACGGCCACAGCCAAGACTTTGACATGCTGGGCTGCTTTTCGTTTCACCCACCCACATGGGAATCTTCCCTCGCCAATTGAAGTCCCATATTTTGTCAAGAATTAAGAGATCGGCTTTGAGTAAATCATACCAATTCTAAATGATCAAAAATGACTCCCGAAGAAACATCGTACGACATGACCTAGGAGTAAATAACTATGTAGTACTGTACCTCAATATACATTTCCTTAGGTAAAGCCAAGGTACAGAATCATACCTGGGGACCCATCAACCGATGCATGCCGACTAATCAATTTACAGTACAGTAGTAAATTACACGATCCATGTGAGATTTTCCCCTCAGGAGTCACCATAGAAGCTTTCGTCAGGTCGAATGGGATTGCTCCAACCTGGCTCGAGGTATCCAGTCGGTCTTGGATTCGAACTTTCACACGAAGATGTCCTTGTAGGCTTGTACTTTGACCCTTCCGTTAATTTACCCCGCACCAAGGCTCGCTACCGAATGTTGTGATTTTGTCGCCTGGTCCTATACAATAGTACATCGACTACTCGTGTGGTACTTATATGGTAATGAGATTTAACAGAATCTTTTGTCCCTCAAATTGCACAGTCTCCGTTGGCTTTTCTTACTCCTATCTCCGTTTTTAGTTCCGAAAGAGAACAGGACCCCCACTAAGCCACAGCTCTCCGGCACCGGCCGCACTGGGTCTCTCTTTCAGTGGGCTAGGTTTCGTGGCGGCCGCGGAACACAGAGCCGTGTTGGTTCTGGATGGAGAGTACTCCGTGCTTTCACTGACGTTGGATCCGGTAACCGTCCGCAAATGCCTCGTGGGCCTCTCTCCTCCGTCTGCTCGATATGTTTTAAACAGCCCCTCCGGATGATGTTGGCTTCGCAATTATTATTGTTATTGGTGTTGTTGGAGCTCGTATTTAGCTGAGTTTTTGAAGGTATCCTTGTGTGATCAAGCGTTCAACGTCGCCTTGGCGAACATAGAATTGTGAATTCTTGGTAAGGTTGATGGTACTGCGTTGTGATCAAATCAGTCAACGTTCATCTGATTGGTGTGTCCCACCTACCCATATTCTGTCTGAATTTCTCCAGCATCCTTGAGGACCCGAACGTCAATAAACAAATCCCTCGGGGGTTCAAGACTTCCAGTAAGATCAATATCAGTCCAATGACCTTTGAACGCAGCGAGTAAATCGCTATATTGCCTCACATATTCCTCCTCTTCTGGGCTTAGACTACTTGTATTCCCCTCACAACTTCCTAAATCTGCTCCTCCATTCTGCCCCTCGTTTGGAACTCGGTGTTGTTGTGCAGCCAGATCCAGAACATCGCTACCATTCCATACCATATCTTCAAGCTTGTCTGTTCGTGTACGATGATATGCGAGAAGACATCGTTTGTTTCTTCGCATACACAAGTGGTCAACGAGGAGAGTGCATGCTGTCGCAGGGTCGGCAGATGGATCGAAAGAGCCATTGATCGATTGTAGAATATTTGAAGCATCTTTGTCCAAGTCTCTAACTTCTCTGGTGACTGCGCGGACCATCTCAGTCTGATATGGAGGAAGGTGTTCGAGTTTTTGAGTTCTTTTGGCATGTTGAACCTACATAAATAAATGTTAGTCAGAAGAAATGGTGATATCCGGTAGTAGACTTACCAATTTGTTCCCTATTTCTCCATACATTTTCAACTACTGTATCCAAGTATCGCCCAGAAGTTATTTGGTCGAGAAAGTCGCGTCGAGCAAAGAAACCCAAACCCCCTCCAAAAATCACGGTATGAAAAAGTGGGTCATGTTAGGTTAGCTAAAATTAGTCAGACCCCCATTGAAAACTTTCCGATGTTCAAATTGATTTTCTTGACTTCACTTCACTTGCACTACTTCACTTCAGTTCATCATTCAATTTTTTTAGACTCTTTCAAATATAGGTAATACGAGTATTTATGATCATATCGTTCGATGAATGATATAATGAATAGTTTGCATTTGGAGATGTTATACATAACAATAGTGACATGAAACGGCGGCATTCTGCATGACAATGTCTTTGTTAAGGTTCGCCAGTCCTCCTTATTCAACAAACCCCTTGTTCATGATTTACATATTGAATCATATCATATACAACTCAAGTAAGATATATATAATTACAAGATTGTTTCGTGAAAGTTTCACGAGAGGATTTATGGACATTCCTGCTACCAGCTCTACATACACGTATTTGGCTGGATATGAAGCAACGTCCATCCTTATCTACATCATGGGCAGATTTATGTCAAAAATCGCCATAATTTTCCATACACAAGGAAAATGTCAGACCGTCAAACCGTCAAACGTCAAACCACGCACCAACATCACGAGAAATGCACATAACGAGACCTCCTTTTCCGTACCCAATGCATCGCACGAAACATGTACTCCTGCGATCTGCCTCAACTCCATCAACATCAGATACTTTTATTCTTCTCCAGCTCCCATCCAGTTGTCAAATTCTCGGCCGCTATCCAGTGTCTCAATCTGCCACCCTTCTTGGTGTCCTCGCAAAACATCCATGTGTTGATCATGAATCTGCCCTTTGTCTACATGTTGTTCAGGTCCGAGATACTGAAGTGCAGGGTCCATATCTCTATCATTCATTGCGTACCCAGCCTGCCATGCTTGCTCAGCATCATGACTACTACCAAAATACACACCATCAGATTCGTGATAGTTGGCATTATCGTATTGACCATGCTCTTGAGTCATCAAAGAAGGATCTATTCTGAAATCCGGTGCAGGTGACGGGTTATAGTGTGGCTGTGGGTGCATCATATCGAACTCTTGTCCTCCCGGAATACTGACTTGGTATGAATGAACTCCTGGAGCTGGGGTCTTTTTGATGATGACATCTTCAACGCCGGCGACTAATGGGTTATGTTGAATGGTCTGCTGATAGTACTCTCCAGGTTGCATACCTGCTTGATTGTATTGGGCTGGGGGTTGCTTTCCTGGATTGGCTACTTGGTACGACGATTTGTTATAGTTGGCGTAGCTTGGCTCCATAGAATGCTCGCGCGAAGAGTAATGGTATGCGGATCTTGTTGTCGGGTAAACGACAGGCTGCTGCTGCATGGGTCGCGGTGAGTTTCGAAGGTTCCGTCTCTTCTTCGATTGGCCTCCTCCTTGCCAATCAAAATCAGTCAAGTCAGAATCATCGGAAGCAATGTCTTCGGACATCTTCCTTTTGGAGGCTTTGCCGGTGCCGGGCTTCGTTGGAGAAAACTTGTAGCCTGGATGCGCATTCTGATGATTAATTCGCTCAATCCTAGCCCATTCACTGAACTGCTCCTTCACAGCATCAGGTTCCAACGGCCAACTATCACCGCAGACTTGAGAAACCACTTGATGATTGTTTTGCAAACACCAATCCTTCGTTCGATTTTGATATGCTTTGCGATAGAGCATGAAGGAATTCATTGGCCTCTTCACCTTTCCCGGAACCTTGCCCTCGTCTACCTCCCTTCGTCGCTCCTCAGCCGACCTATGCACGTATGTCTCGATATCGGCGACCGCAACATGTTTCCAATCTTTGGTAAGCTCACTCAACGGCTTATCGAGCTTGGCCACCTTCTTCTCAGCCTTAACCTTCTCCTTCTTGGCCTTCTTCATTTTCGGTGATTTCTCTGATCGATGACGTCCCTCAGGCATGGGCCTCAATGTCTGTTGTCCACCTCTTTGAATCGTAAGGCCACTTCTCGTTCTTATCATATCTTGGGACGAAGGAGTTGGTGAACTGGCTGGGGTGCTGTATTGTTCTTGATATATGGGCGGCTGAAAATCATGATACTCCTAATCTACAATTAGTTTGGAAAGGTAAGCACGCCTTATTCGGCAACTCACGTATTGGATCCCCAATCCAGAGTCTTGATGTTGATGCTGGTATGGGTAACTAGTCTGCTGCGGCCGCGTGCGCAAGTATTGATCATCATGCGAAAGGGGTGAATCGTAATGTGACTGCATATGGATGCCTTCATCTTGTTCGTATTTCGGTTGTGGATAAGATGTGGTCGCGTTATGTGCCACTAAATGATGAAGATCATGCTGAAACATCTCGTTATTCCTTGACGGTGGTGGTGATAGCGCCATAGTGATCGCTGATATGGGAAGCAACTTTGGGAGATCAGCGAAAGAAGAAAGTCGAATTTCGGAGATGTTGGTTGCTGGCTTATAAATGGCTGTCTACCAGTGTAGAAAATTCACCAACCAGCTTGATGAATGAAAGGCTCTACCCCACAACCTCTGTGACAATTGAGATGAACTCTTCAATCTATGATGATCGTTGAGTTATTGGAGCCCTAGCTTTTGCCTTGTGTTCTTTCCTGTGCGGCAAGGTATACAGATTACTTGCTGTAGTTTTTGTTATTGTTGATGAATGTCTCCTGGGCCTTGGCCAGAGAAGAGTTGTGAGAAGCAAGTGAGACCAAAAAGATGTTCTTTTTCAAAGTTCTGGAATTCCAAAGAAGTTCTTTAGAGAGTAAATGGTTCATCTGATTTTCCAATTTATGTTGGGTCTTAGAAAGTGATTCAAGTGGGATCATTTCCCTTTTCTCTCAGGACCGTGCAGTATCAGAAAGTTTGGTATGAACCTGTGGCTTCCTGCAGGCCGCACTGTCTTCCCTTCGGAGGCTTATGTTCTGGAACCGTGGTGTCAAGCAATTAAGATGCAAGTGTCCAGTGATGAGTACCCCTGATATTGATGCAGAGGCTCTAAGGTTGGAATGGTATCAAAATTTAATTTTCTTTGTCTTATGCTGCAGCTGTTGTGAGTTGTTGGAGTAGGCAATGAACCCTGAGCTCTATGCTACGATAATCCAGCGATAATCCAGCCGTGTAAGACCCTTTGTTTTGAAGAATAAATCAAAAGAAAGGGTCTGGACAGGTCTTTATGTATTCGAGAGATGGGTTGTGATGAAAGCTAGTGGACGAATTGGGCAAAGAAACGTTTTCAGCCAATCACTGTTTTCGACCACTTCAAAGTCACAAACGTTTTCAGCCAATCACTGTTTTCGACCACTTCAAAGTCACAATAAATAAGCGCATCTCCACGCTTTCCAGAAGCGCGTCTAATCCTATTATCATTTGCATGCAATTGTCAAATTGTTATTTCTTCACTCCTTTGAAAATTAGAAAAAGGTATTCAAAAAAATGATTACCTTGATTATCTTGGAATCTACACTAATTTGTTTACTATTCCTTTAGAACATTTGTTCAATCATAATACTACATTTATGAAGTGTACAGAGATGGCTCTTGTCGAGGCTAGGTGCAAACAAGCCAGGATAATCAATTTTGTTTTACGAACCATGGTAAGTGCTTCCTTCCCCACCAGTTCGTACATGCACATGCATATGTTCGCAGGTTGAATGGATACATGAGTGAGTGGCAAGGAAGACCCTTCCTGCGTCTTGGGTCTGTATGGTCTCTGTATCTATTGGCCGGTAAGTTGCGAGGAATGTTGTAACAAAACCCAGCTAAGGTTACAGGAGATTGCTGTTTTGGGACGTCTGGAATGTAGATTGATGGCTAACCTCTTTGAGATTCCTTTCTTTGTGCCGGTTTTCCCCATATCGGGTGTCGAATGCATATTTTCCGTGCTGGGTGCATAAGGAAGACCGTTCGAGGCCCTTTGCCATGTATGTATGTTGGCAAGCAAAGTTGGGAGGAAAGGACTGGACAGGGCAAGATGATAAACATGATGTAAAGTGAAGTGAAGTGAAATGGAATAATATGCCAAGCAGCATTCGTAAGGTTTTCAAAGTGAGTGTGGCGTACGGCTGGCTGCATTAGTTTCATTCAATAGCCAGGGTGTTTGGTATATTGGTGGGAGTGGGGCTGGAACACTTCCACTGCCAGTTGCTTGGGTAGGGCATTTATTTGTTTATCATGAGAAATGGAAGGATGTGTTTTTCTTATTCTTAGTTGGAGATGTTTTATGGAACAAAATCTTTCTTCATCTGCCTTTCGTTTCTTTGGTGTGAAACCAAACTTCTTTGAAACTCTTTTTTCCTCAACACAATTCAGCCCTTTGGGGTTTCATTTCCATTCATATTTTCTATGTGGATTGTGGGTGCTGCAGATATGGACAATACAGTATCATTGGCGTACTAGTGGTAAGCAATGTCTGATTTGATAGTACTCCAAATATAGGTCCGTGTTTCTGTTTTACATCCATATCCACATCCACACCCACGAAATTTCATGCCCAACTCAGTTGTCTAGTTGTCTAATCGATTTTTGAAGGGCGTTACGTGGTTCTTCCTGGAGCTGAAATCTCACCGTTTAGAGGTTTGAGCTCCGATTTATTCCGATGGAATGAATTCTAAGCCTCCAAGGTTAAACCTATCCTCCTCAAGCAAAGTCGCATGACGAATTTGATTACCCTCGCCGGGAGAACTCTTCGATGAGCGATCGATCGATTTTAAAATGCGAAATAGGAATAGATAGGAAACCTTCTTGAGCTTCATCTCCTCGTCGAGGAAAGGGAACAGGAGATCTGCTGATGATGGGCTACGGTGGGATTACTGTTCACGGATATCTGGCACATGCGCACGAGTTACACAACAAAGAAAACTGATGAGGGGAAGGGAAAAGGAAGGAAGCGATGGATAGCCAAGCCAATGTGCCATTCTGTCTGATGTTTATGGCCTACGGAGACCACATTCAACATCTAGAGTTTGTGCATTTGCTGCCATTTATGAGGATCAAGGATGGGCTAGCGATATTGCCGCGATGGAGTGGCATAAGAGTGATGTGATAGAAGCAGGAAGCGATATCTCGGGAACAGTAACGGTTCATGATATCTACAAGTCTACGGAGACCGGATTCCAGTACCTTGTTTTCCTCTATTTACCGCGCTATCTACCACAACTCTGGTCGTATTCGCGATACAGTGTTTGCCGCGATGAAGTAGTTGTGGAGTTTGATATTGAGAGTGTGATTCGTGACGGGGTATTGCCGAGGGTACCTCCCCGGATGCCGATGAACAAAGAAAGAACGTCGCCGAACTTCGACATGGCCTAATGGTGCTGGGAAGGTGACCGTATACTCAGAACGCCACGATGGGCTGTGGATTGGAGATGGGGAATGCGGATGAGGGGTAACAGGTGATTAACTGATACTTGGATGAGATGGGATGGAGGATGCATTTGTAGATGCAGGATGTAGTTGCTGCGAGGTGATTTGATGGTGGATGGATGGGATTGGATTTATGGTGCTAATTATTTAGTGTGGAATGCGAGGGTTCTAGCGTCAGGAACTGGGCTTGGCTTAGAGAAGAGGACAAAGAAGGGGATGCGAGCGATTGAAGGCGGGGATTAAGTGGGGTAGTGAGGCGGTGGTGGGATTCAAGGCTAATTATACAACTAAGCTTGGTTCATCTGGGAAGATGGACGGCCTTTTCTTTGAAGACTTGGGATTGGCATTTGCCCGTTTATCCGTCGCTTGCTGCTTGCTGTTGCTGTTGCTGCTTATGAAGCAATGGGCTAAAGAAGAGGGGGCGCGGTAGTGAAGTGATCGTGCTGGATTTGGATATTGAGATGGAGAGTGAGATTGGCAAGAGACAATGAGGGGGAATGCTGATAGGGGGGTGAAATACATGGTACATGTGCAGATCAAGATATCTAGGTAGATACATGTTCACAAACTCGCGCTCCACTTCAGACATGCAACAAAACCTTCTTGACTCCCAATTCTTTGTTCAAGCAAGGTTGGTCGGACCAATCAAATGTTTATTTGAGAAGGAGTCACTGGATCTTTGACAAAGAAATGCGGAGGTAGCGATTTTTTTGTTTGTTTACAGTTTGATTGTGGTAGATAAGCGATACGAGATGGATGAATAGATGGATAGATGGATGGGGTTTTAGGGTTAATCTATATACAATACCTCTCTCTGTATTTGCTTAAGAAGCTGGAGTAGGAGTAGCTCGACTGACAGTAGCTTCATAGAACAGAAATTGAATAGAAGGGTGAGTAGCATGTCTGTCGTCTGAATTACTTACCATCAATGACTACGGACGGGAATTTTGTTTTTCAAAGTGAGGATTCATGTTAAGTTAGATATCCGCTCATGTCATGTGTGGTGGGGTGGTAGTGTGGTGGTACCATGGAGATGGAGGTTCTTACGCGATGCGACGCGAAGACCCCTTTGTTTTGTGTTTTATTGTGTTGTGTTGTGTTGGTTACGAAGGTTAGGTACGAAGGTTAGGCTAGGTTCTGGATATGGATATGTATATGGGGATGGAAATTGGAGGTATTTGGGAATGGGAATGGGATATGTGTGTATCTACCTACTTGTACACGTATATTCCTACGGCTATGTTTGTGAGGAGTGGAATTTTTTACTCGCGGATCGGAGTCGCTGTACACATATAGATGTCTATCAATCATTATAGATCCATCTGTCGAGATTGAAGTATGCATGCATGTATGGTATACTGCAAATTAATCTGGGATATGTCATGGCTAATAGTCAATACTTTGATAGTTAGTTAGTAACTTAGTATCGAAGATATGCACTTCTTCCCCCTTATACTCTCGTACATGCTATCACTGGTAGACTGACTAACTTAATTACAAAACCACTCCCCTCACCAAATATTGCAAGAGCAATAGCAATTGTAATTGTGATTGTAATCAATAGTCTTACAATCTCATGATCACCTCATCTCATAAGTAACTTCAAGTGCACCCAGCATCCAATATCTAGCTAGCATCCAACATCCACCATCCACCAATAAAACCTCCTAATTTCCTATTGAAGCCCATATCAGGACTCTATACCACAATTCCCTTTGTTACAACTTCCACACCACTTCTACAGTTCCACGATTAACAAACTATACAACGAACAATATTCTTTGTTGGGAGTTATTTGCTCTCGCCTGAAGATATCCCATTTACATATCCATATCATATCATATGTACAGTACTCAAGAAAGTATATACTTGGCAAACCAAGCAAACTTGACAGATCGTCATTGAACGCCAAACACCAAACGAAGAGGCAGTACAGTAAACTGTGATTTGATTTGATTCGATTTGATTTGATTTTTGATTCGATTCTCAGCACAAGACGACAAACTTACAAGACAGTTGAGCCTAACACAAATACAAATCCCAACATACCCAACTCGAGCTCCACCAACTTTCCCCATCTACCCTCTAGGATCGAACGCTCTTTTATATATACACCCAACTACCCATCTGCTCTGTGCAATCAATCTAATCCAAATCCAACATGCCACGCAGACTCTCCGCTTCCGGTTCTGGCTACGAGGAATTGCGCGGGGGGAAAGAGGAGGTTGATATACATGGTGCCCATACGCATACGCATATGCGTCCTCGTGATGAAAATGAACATGAACATGAAGATGGAAATGGAAATGGAAATGGAAATGAACATCATCCGATAATAACGAGAGAAACGAGTAGGAAGCCCTTGCGCAATCTAGGATGGGTACAGATACTTGTGATTGTGGTTTTCTCTCTGTTGTTTTTTGGGGTGGGGGTGGGTGCTGGACGGAGGTATCCGAGGTTGGAGAGGAGGTTGGGATTGTTGGGTGAGTTTGTTATGTTTTTATATTTAAGGGTGGATTTTTGGGGGGAAGGGGGAGAGGGGGAGATGGAGATGGGATGGGACGGGATGAGACGTTTATTGGTATTATCCTGGTGATGGGTTGATATGAAGGAAATGGGATGAGTATATTGAATATTGACTGATGAGTATATATGCCACAGTACCCCCTGGATCAACGAAAGAAACTTGGTATCCTAATACCACATTCTCGATGAAACCGACGCCGGAGTCGGAAGAAGCGTGGGGATCTCTCATGCCGGGTTAGTAGCATCGACGTCCCATTCTTGTTACATTCAAACTGACGAAGTTACAGTGGGTAGAGGATTCATCTACCGACCCGAAATAGCACCCATTGTCAAAAGTGTCTCTGTATTCCATCAACTGCACTGTTTGGTACTTTCCCTCTTCTTTCCTTCTTTTCTTCCCACCCCCGCTATCAACCCATCAAAACTAACATCCCTCCAGCACGGTCTCCGCACCTCTTACTACGACCTCCACTACCAAATTGCGCGGGCGGCGGGAGCTCCCCCAGACCCATATCTGGAGCAAAAATCCGCCCACACACATATTGAGACGGCGCATCAAAAGCACTGTTTCGACTACCTGCGACGCGCAATCATGTGTGCCGCGGATACTAATTTGGAATATGTGGATCCGGTGACGGATGATACGACGGGGTGGGGGAGCGAGAGGGTGTGTAGGAGTTTTGAGGATGTGAAGGGGTGGGCGGAGAAGTGGGCTAATGGTACGGGTGAGGGGATTGCTTGAGGGAGAGGCGGGGAGGGTGATGGTAGGTGTGAGAGGATGAGGCCATATTGTAGGACTTTGGTATTTGTGCTAGTATATGTGATATGATAGGGCTCTGGATGCGGAAATGCGGGAAGAGATTGAATGCAGTGTATGACTGATGAAGATGTTCTCTCAAACAAACATAATTCCCACATTCGTTTACGAATGTAATGGAAAATAAATAAGTATGCATGAAGATTCCATAAACCAAAATAGCCATTGATTTCTCAGTTCGAGTCCAATTATTCAGGAACACTTGTCACTAAATACCAGGAATATTGGTAGCCGTCTTCCGAAATCTCAGTAGCCGGTTCGTAATCACAGGAGAGAGTAGCACTTCTCGTTACCCGTCCTTGATAACCGTCATTTTGAGTGAAGAAAAGATACCTTGAAGTGAACAAATGCGTCTAATCGGATGCCTATGGTGACATATGCCAAACCTTGTGAGAATACTTTGCATCTCACCCATGCAAAATACAGAGCAACATATTATGGTGTAACCTTATACGTTATCATCCGAATACAGGAGCCAACCAGCACCCTTGAGGTAGGTACACATGCCTCTTCTCTTAAGAGAGGTGTTTCCTACAAGATATATGGTTTTTGGATTTTACTTGAGGACAGGGATTCTTACACTGATCTCTTGGCATTGCTTGGCACAAAATGTAAAACGTTTTGAAATTTTCGAATATTTTTTTGGAAAGCCAAACTTGAGATCTCTTATAAGAAATGTAACCTCTGGGTAGATAGAATAGAGAGACTGCTATTTTGGATAAGAGTTTAGTAATCCAAATCAATCAATAGGTGCTGCCCTGGCCCATATATGCATATGTGAGTACCAACTGATGAGCCACAATGTCGCAGGAACCCCACTTACCAAGTGTAACAGTGGTTCTTGATCCGTGGGTTATTAAAGTACTTTCAATAAGAATACTCCAATTCTCAAGAAAACCTCTGATCAGCAGACTTAGACGCAATATGGCAGCATCCGACCCCGAGCTCGTGATTCCCTTGATCATCGATGGAGAAGAAGAGAATGGAAGTGGCACATTTGACGTCGTGAGCGCAACATCTGGCAAAGTCTGCTGGAAAGCGGCATCCGCGAGTTCTGAAGATGCAATTCGAGCCGTCGAAGTGGCGAAGAAAGCATTTCCTTCCTGGTCCAAAGTTAAACCGCTGGTGAAGCAAAAAATACTTTTCAAGGCTGCGGATCTCTTGGAGAGTCGGATGCCAGAATATGGAAATATTATGCAAACGGAAATGGGGGGAGCTGTAGGACCGGTACATGACTGGATTCTTCCTACTGGCGTGGCATTCCTACGAGATATTGCAAGTCACATCCCCTTGGTGACTGGTAGTGTTCCTACAGTTGCAGGTGAAGGGCAAAGCGCCATGATCTGGAAAGAACCATATGGGGTGATATTAGGAATTGGACCTTTGTAAGTTTTTGTAGCCCATTGCCATTGCCATTTCCATTCCCCAAATTAATTCGAGGTAACAGCAATGCCCCGTTTGTACTAGGTATGCGCGCCGCAGCTACCGCTATTGCGACTGGAAATACAACAGTGCTCAAAGGCTCTGAATTGACACCAAAGTGCTATTGGGCACTAGGAAAAGTATTCCACGATGCGGGACTACCAGCAGGCGTTCTGAATATTATTTATCTCAAACCGACCGACGGTGCAGTGGTCACAAACGCCATAATAAGACACCCGGCGGTTAGAAAGGTCAATTTCACAGGAAGTACAGAAGTAGGCAGCAGGATCGCTCGTACTTGCGGAGAGAATCTCAAACCTTGTTTGATGGAACTTGGAGGAAAGAATAGTGCGATCGTATGCGCCGATGCTGACTTGCAAAAAGCCGCCACAGAATGTATTATCGGGGGTATTTTGCATTCTGGTCAGATATGCATGTCAACAGATCGCATAATAATCCATGCCGATATAGCAGAAAGGTTCTTGGAGGTTTTGAAAGCAACTTTTTTGGATATTGCTTCGTCGACACCTGCTCCACCACATGTCGTTAACGCTGCCGCGAAATCTCGACTGCAAGAGGTAGTCTCAGACGCTATATCCGAAGGAGCCTCCAGCCTTCTTGGCGGTTTTGAACACATGCAGCGAAAAGAAACAGATGAAAATTCTCCTATTACCTTCATACCTATGATCATTGGAGATGTGAAAGAGGATATGCCTTTGTGGCGAGATGAAAATTTCGGGCCTGTTGCAGCATACAGAATTGTCAAATCTGATGAAGAAGCTATAGCAATGGCAAATGATACTGAGTATGGGCTATCAGCAGCTGTATTCACCCAAGATCTGCGGAAAGGGTTCGCCATTGCAAAGCAATTGGAGTCTGGGTGCGTTGAATCCGAGAAGACCAAGCGTGTGTGTGATCATTGCTAATGACTTATTACTCTAGTGCTGTTCATATCAATAGTATGAGTGTTAGAGACGAGCCTGCTTTGCCAATGGGAGGCGTGAAGAAGAGTGGTTGGGGTAGATTCAATACCGTCCTCGGGATGGAGGAATTCTTAGTCGCAAAATCAGTGACTTGGGATGATTGACATGGGGAATTGGCTACAGAATGAATGGCGATATAATAAACAGCGAATTTGAATGGTACTGTGTCGCTTGGGCATGATGATTGATAGTTGTACTGGAGTAGTTAAAATTTGTAACTCACCGCCTACGTACAATTCTGCCACTATAAAGGTTACGAACAATGTTAACCACAACAAACTCAATCCTAATACTCCGCCAATGCAAGGTTCGAACGCAGCGAGTAAATACAGTTTAGAAACTTGCCCATCTATAAGATCAATAAACACCTATTCGCCTCATTCTTACTTGATGAAATGACGCTCCGCTGGCCCTCCGGGGGCCACTGCCGTGGGGGCGGACTATTGCCATTTACTCATAAATCGTTAGGTATACAGTGTGCCTTCCACGAAGAATTATATCCCCGAATACCTCTCTACGAAGCAAATTATCTTTGAGCTCTTTCACGGACTCAGTCCTACCCGCTAGGAATATCTCCTTAGATCAACGATCAGCTGCCGGTAGCCGGCTTATGCACTTATGGGTAAATGTACATTTCGCCAACTGTAGTTTGAGTTTGAACCTATCCGACTATCCGATAAGATCTCGCTTTGTATATATCTCTATGAGTGAAGGAGGAATGAAAGCTCAATGTACGTACTCGAGTAACTTTTATCCCTTTCACAAATTGTGAAAATGAGTCTCACCTGATTTTCTAATGTGTGAAATATGGGGTAATATAAGGCTGAAAGACTGATTTTTAGGTACAAACTGTGTGGCTGATGCTGTTTCCAAATCCAAACAAGAAAGAAACATACTTACTCGAGTTACATATATACCTCCTATTCCTTCCCTTACCATCCATTCCCTTTTCCCTTCTCATCCCCCTTCAAACTCTCAGTATTCGATATACATCATCGGAGAAGTCTGTGTACTCATTACCTTATAAGTTTCAAAATGTAAGATCTTACCTAGGATCATAGTTTGTCTACAGTCCGATATAATATTACTCATACCCGTCCGTACAGTCAATACCGGTATATTAAATAGCAAATTGACCTCCTTTTTAAATCATTTTCAAATGATCCCTTTATAATTGTAATACGAGTGTGAATCTGTGCTCTACTACGAGTAATTCATACCTTCCCCCCGCCCCGCCTCTCAGCCCCATACCTTTCTCAGCCACAATAGCCCTGTCTCAAAATAGCATACATACCCCTGTCGCACTTGAACCTTACTGTTTGTAGCATAAGTGCAGGCTCGTGTAAGGAATTGGTTACAGAAAGCCATTTCATAAAGTCAACCATAAGCAAGCAAGCCTTGACGTCCAAGAAAATAAAATAAAATAAAACAGAACAAAAAACAACAACATAACCAAAAAAAAACACAGGATTCAAGATTATCCAGATACCAAACGAATTGACGAAAGCTACACAGTCCTAGCGATGATGTTAATGACTTAAAGATTAGTACGATCCGCTTCCACGCGTTGGTCCCTAGGGACATCTTGCGAATCAGCACCGGTTGCGATTATCTTTTATTTTTGCGACGGCAGACATTAAAAGGTAGTGGATAAATTGGCTGGCTTTCTGAGGGCTGGAATTGGGCATAATGTCTCCCAACGATACCCACGGTTCTAATAATTCATCGAGTCCTCCTCAATCGATACCTTTACGAGATTTAACACGGCCACCCGATTCTGCAGATGTAGGAGATGGAGAGCGGCGGCACACACGAGGGAGGAGTCTCTTGGCAGGCGGAGGGCTTCGTCCGATGGGTAGTATAAATTCCGGTACTGGATACGAAAGGTTAGGGGACTTCTCTCCTCTTCCAGCAGGGAGATCAAATCGAACAGGTGGCTCGGTGCCTCTGGCACTACAATCATCTATTGAGGGGGGCCACGAAGACGAATCAGAAACACCTACATCACCTGTGGGAAATCCCGCAGATTTTCAAGCCGCCATGGGATTTGCTGGTCTGAATGTACCGGACATCAACTTATCTCATGCTCCTAGAGAGAGGTCTATGTCTTTTGGATCCGAGCACTCTCTTACACCTTATGCGCATTCTTATGGAGATACGGGGGATAACGATAACTCCTATTTTCCCTCCGATTCTGACCGAATACCCTTGACCGATTCGAATCATCTCCAACCGATGAGCGGGGTACAACCTACGACTCCAGATGGCCAGCGACACGATAGATCAAGCTTTCAATCTATCAGCTTCAACTCGCCAGGATCAAATTACAGAGGGTCTAGGCTAGGAGATGATCTTCCTAATGCGGAAGCAGGCCTCTCATCGTTTGGCACAAGGTCGGGATCGCAGAATTATGGAGCTAACCTGTCTCCATCTGGGCGCAGATCCAGATCTCCATCCACCATTGGGGCATTATCCAGAGCCGGGTCGATGGTGAGGGCTATGTCACAGCGTGTTGTCAATCTTAGCGGGGAATCTGAAGTTATCGAGGAAAGTGCTAGGAGGCAGGCACATAATGTCGAGGAGCCAATCATGCCTTCAAGGAGATCATACGAACCAGATGTTCAAGATACAGCCTACCGGCCGAACACCACGTTTCACCCATTTGAAAAACCTCCGCCAAGGACCTTGGATGGATCCGGAACAGATCAATGGCAATCACAAGATGCTCCCAACCCGCTCAGAGGAAATACACTGGGCATATTTTCGCCGACTAACAAGATTCGATTAAAACTTTGTGATCTTTTGGTTTATCCAATTACTGAACCTGCGATTCTAATTTTAATCGTCGTACAAACAGTTCTTCTTGCGGTGGATGCGGCCCCTTCTGTATATACTCATCCCCGGCACGCTGAATGGGGAGGTTCTTTTGTCGACTATGCTTTGTTGGGTCTTTTCATAGTCTTCACCCTGGAAGTCATAGCACGTATTATTGTATCCGGTTTCATCTCTAATGCAGCCGAATACAGCACAATAGACCGCCAACGTGGAGCTAAAGCGGCAATTGTGGATAAGTATCGATCCATATTCGCACCTCAGCGAAAATCGTCTGTCAGAAGAGCACAAACATCATCTTCTGAGGAAACTACTAATACACAAAGACCTATTGTCAATACCTTCGCCCAGATGCAAGCAATGACCAGCACTGTCGAGCAAGCTCAACGACTGCAACTAGCTAGGAGAGCGTTCCTCAGACATTCTTTTAACCGACTCGATTTCGTAGCGGTTGTATCGTATTGGGCAGCATTTGTCCTCAGCATAGTTGGGGTGGAAGATGGCGATCATCTCTACATCTTCCGCATGTTGAGTTGTTCACGTATTCTTCGCTTGCTTGCTCTTACAAATGGTACTGCTGTAAGTCATGCATTATTTTCGTTTTCATGTGCGTTTCTGACTATGTAATTAGATAATTCTTCGAAGTCTGAAAAAAGCCACTCCGTTGCTACTCAATGTGTCTTTCCTAATCGGCTTTTTCTGGCTGCTATTTGCTATAATCGGTATACAAAGTTTCAAGGGCAGTCTCGATCGTCAGTGCGTATGGATTGATCCCGATGACATACAAAATGATCAGAATACAGCGTTCGTAAACAATAACCAATATTGCGGAGGTCAGTTTAATAAGGACAATTCGTCTCACGACCCCTGGATGAGGTCCGATGGGCCCAATCCTCTCTATCCTCTGATATTTGGTGCTGCGTCGTCTAAAGGTTACTTGTGCCCCGAGGGATCTTATTGTGTTCAACTCACTCCCGAATTACTTCCATTCAACGGTACAATTACCTTTGACAACATAGGACAGTCTTTGGAACTTGTATTCGTTATTATGACGGGCAATACGTTTACCGACCTCATGTACTATACCACAGACTCCGACTACCTCGCTGCCGCAATATTTTTTGCAGGCGGAATTGTCATCATGATGCTCTGGCTTATGAACTTGATGATAGCTGTCATTACTTCATCATTTCAGGTCATTAGAGGAGAGGGAAAAACGAGTGCGTTCGCTGCCCAAGCTGATGATGATCATCCCGATCCAAATGCGGACATGCCCCGACAGGTGAGTAAATTGAAGCAGATGTACCAGAAGACCTATTGGCTTTGGATTTTGATTATTGTCTACGACCTCGTGATCCAAGCTTTCCGGAGTTCTGATATGTCAGAATCTCGTGCAAGACTCATCGATTTTTCGGAGATCGTGGTAACATTTCTGTTGCTAATTGACATCGGTTTGCGATTTGGCTCCGATTGGCGAGACTTTCACAAACACAAAAAAAACCTATTTGACTTGGGACTTGCGATTATTACTACCGTAATTTTACTGCCACCCATTCGAAACTCTGGCCAGCCTTATGCTTGGCTTACCGCATTCCAAATTCTCAGAATATATCGGGTTGTCATGGGCATCGACATCACGAGATCCTTGATTATGTTGGTATTGGGAAATGCAAGTGGTATTGGGAATCTTGTTCTCTTCGTGTTCCTTATAACTTTTTTGGTTGCGATATTCGCTGTCCAGTTGTTCCGCGGTGAGATCCCGGAATATGATGACTCGGGTGAATATATCCAAGTAAATTTCTCCACAATTTTCAATTCATTCTTGGGGTTGTATCAGATTCTATCGAGCGAAAATTGGACCACGCTTCTTTATAATGTTACTGGCATAGAAAAGACGCGCAAAACTGGCTGGATCGGAGCAACGTTCTTCATTGGATGGTTTATTCTCGCCAACTTCATTCTGGTGAATATGTTCATAGCAGTCATTCAAGAGAATTTCGATGTTTCAGAGGATGAGAAGCGCATGCAACAAGTTAAGGCTTTCCTGACCAGGAAAGAGGTTGATACCTCTTCTAGCAACCTCGCATTGTCGTCCATCCTTCGCTTTGGTCGCTCCAAGGCGAAAAAGGATCCTCTTGATTATGGACCAGCAACAATGGAGATGTTATTGAAAGATGCAGTCGTCAAAGACTTCCTCGATGACGAAATTGTCCCCGGACAACACGAAAACAATGCAGAAAATGCAGCTGTCGGTGCAGCCGGTGTGAAGCCGGGATTCTTATCCTCTATCTGGGGCAATTTCATGTCTGGAGTTGCGAACAGAGAACCGAATCCGTTCTATTCCAATATATCATTCTCCCTCAAGTCTGATGACTCCAAAGGCACCAGGGCAATGGCAAAAGAGGCTGTCTCAGCCTCATCGCAACGCAAGAAAGCACAACGTGAATACTTGGCAAAACACCCGTCTTACAACAACGCGTTATTCTTTTTCAACCCCAATAACCCTATTAGAAGGCTTTGCCAGAAATGTGTGGGACCTGGACGCGGGAGTGAACGTTTTGACGGCGTTGAGCCTGATTTGACAATTTGGTATAGCGTTTCGGCATTCTTATATGCATGCATTGTCGCAATGGTGTTGTTGGCCTGTATAACAACGCCTCTGTACCAAAGAGAATACTTCATAGCCAATCCTGGCAAATCGACTGGAAACAATTGGTTCGTCTTTTGTGATTTTGTATTCGGGATCATTTTCACCGTCGAGGCTCTTATAAAGGTCATTGCAGACGGATTTTTTTGGACGCCGAACGCGTACTATAGAAGTACTTGGGGTTTCATAGACGGTCTAGTGCTTGTAACCTTATGGATCAACGTCATTACCTCATTAATGGACGATGGGGCGATTGCACGAGCAGTCGGAGCTTTCAAAGCCTTGCGGGCTCTTCGATTGCTCAACGTCAGTGACAGTGCTAGAAACACATTTCACTCTGTGATTCTTGTCGGTGGTTTCAAAGTTCTCTCGGTAAGAAATCCTGTGCCGTATTCCCCCAATCTGTGCTAACATGTCAATAGGCCGCTTTCGTTTCCATGTCTCTCTTGATCCCTTTTGCAATATACGGCGTAAACCTTTTCAACGGCCAGCTTGAGACATGCAACGACGGTGACATCAATAATCTCACTGACTGTTCCGGCGAGTATTCCAGTGCACCGTTCAGTAGTGATTGGAACATCGTGTCGCCTAGACAAGTCGGAAATCCCTGGTACGATTTTGATAGTTTCGGCGGTTCCCTATTTATCCTTTTTCAAATCGTATCCCAAGAAGGTTGGGTTGACGTCATGTTCGAATCAATGTCCATCACCGGCCGTGGTCTTAACCCGGGCAATCCCACCTCTGCCGAGTTCAATGCAGTGTTTTTCGTCATTTTCAACCTTCTTGCTACGGTCTTCATCCTTACTTTATTTATCTCTGTGTTTATGCGAAATTACACTGAACAAACCGGGATCGCATTCTTGACCTCTGACCAAAGATCGTGGGTGGAGCTGCGCAAACTTTTAAGGCAAGTTTCTCCATCGAAGCGTCCATCCACCAAAGACCCACGCTGGTGGAAAGACTGGTGTTACAAAAGAGCCACTCGAAAGCATGGAAGGTGGCATTCGGCTATGACGTTAACTCTTGTCTGCCACCTCATCCTGTTGTTGGTGGAATTCTACCCCGAGCCGGATTGGTGGGATAGAACCAGAGATTATATATTTCTGGCTTTCACAGTGTTCTATTCAATCAACGTTGTCGTCCGTATAATTGGCCTGACCTGGCCTCGATTTCGACGAAGTTCTTGGGATGTGTTCTCAATTTTCGCGGTAACCGGGACATTAATCACCACTTTACTCCTTCTCACCAACTTCAACTCTCAGGTCTTTATCCAGCTACACAAATTATTCCTTGTTGCTATTGTTCTACTTTTAATTCCTCGAAATGATGCTCTAGATCAGCTGTTCAAAACCGCAGCTGCCAGTTTGACAGCCATTGGTAACTTGTTAGCAACTTGGTTCGTCCTGTTTATGGTTTTTGCCATCGCTATGACTCAGACATTCGGGCTCACTCGTTTTGGGTCGCAGGAGACCGACAATCTCAATATGCGAACTGTACCAAAAACGCTTATGATGCTATTTCGAATGTCTTGTGGAGAGGGTTGGAATGAAATCATGGAAGATTATGCGACGATATCGCCTCCATTTTGCACCCTTGGCGACAACTTCTACGACAGTGACTGTGGAAGTCCCACATGGGCTCGAATATTGTTCATTTCGTGGAACATCGTGAGCATGTATATCTTCACTAGTTTGTTTGTGTCACTCATCTACGAGAGTTTCAGTTATGTCTTTCAACGATCCAATGGCTTATCTAAAGTCAGTCGTGACGAGATTAGACGCTTCAAGGAGGCTTGGGCTATTTTAGATCCGGACGGCACGGGCTTCATCGAAAGAGATCACTTCCCGAGGCTGTTGGGAGAGCTCTCTGGTGTTTTCGAGATGCGCGTCTATTCACATGAAGATTCGGTTCGCAGAATTCTCGAGGATATACAAACACAACCGGACAATGGCAGGATGAATTCTATTTCAAGCCCTAGTTCTTCCAGTGGTATTGATCTGAAGGCGTTAAATGCAAGGATTGCTCAAATCGATGGTGGCCGAGTGCGACGAGATAGAGCTCGATTTAATCTCTTCTACGAAGAGGTATTAGTATCAGCGGACCCTGATCGTGGCATTTCTTTTACGACTGTTTTGATGGTTTTGGCTCATTACAATGTCATTAGTGATAATAAGAGCTTGAAGTAAGTCATCTGAGTGATATTCACAACTGTGTAACTAACAATTGGTAGACTTGAGGAATTCTTACGTCGTCGTGCACGGCTACAGAGAGTCGAAGAAGAAGTTCGAAGGAGAATTGTAGTTGGATTTTTCGATACCATGTAAGTTTATCATGCTCCCATTGGTGTAATCTACTGACATATATACAGGTACTGGTCAAGAAGATTCAGAAAGCACATGGAAAGGAAGAAGTCTGGCCGCATGACAGATATCCCACAATTAGGACCAGAAGTTTACGTCGACGACGAAGAAACATCCACCAAGAAACACAAACCATCCACATCAAGCAGCGGTGCCCTCTTATCCCCAACAGACATCACAGCTTCTCGAAACTCTTTCATCACACATGGACTCGACGGTGCACCACTAAGACAACGTCGCGGCACAGACACATCAATTAATACGGCATTCCCATCAATGTCGTCGGCAGTGAGCCCAACGCTTAGCCCTCTTAAAGCTCATGCAGCTCATGGATCGGCATTTTCATTTGAGAGTGTGGGATTAGGAGAAGGCGTAAGTGGTGCAAGTGGGATGAGCAGTGTGGCGAGTAGTCGGAGGGGGAGCGCGGTCAGTGCGGAGAATGTACTCGAGGTATTGGATAAATCCGCGTGGGGAGAGAGTATTAGGAGGAGTTTTACAATGAGAAGACCTAGTAATAGTGGGGAGGGTGATGGGAAATTACTGTGATGGATGTCGCGCTGTGCGTAATACTTTAAGAGTTCTCTTTCATGCTTGAGGTTCGATAGAATAAAGAAGAAAGAGGAGTACAATACTGGAATTGGAAATGGAATTGGATTCGAAAACTATGGGGGACGGACGCATAATTGGATGATGGGAACTACCTACCTACCAGGCAGTAGGGTGGGTACTGGGGGGAAAGGCTCGGAGAGGGAGGGGAGGGGTGGTGTCCGTGAGGAGTTTATTGGGAGGGCAATTATTTTCTTTCTCTTTTTCTCTTTCTTTGATCGGGTCACTTGTTTATAATGGGAGGGATGAGGAGATGTTTATATGTTTACATATTTCCTATTTTATCAATTTTGGCAGTTTTGCAACACACCTTTTTCTTTTCTTTTCTTTTTTCTTTTAACCGAGAGGAGAGCTTGTATTCATTCTGTGCATTGTAGGGATGGATGGGTAGATAAGCGGTGGATGGGAGTAGATGGAAAATGAAAATGAAAATGAAAATGGAAATGGAAATGGAAATGGAAATGGAAATGGAAATGCTGGGTGGCAGACTAACTAGACTTGAGAGGGGGTTTGCAAACTGCATAGCCTTGGGCGTTTGTTTTGCTTTGCTTGGGTTTTAGGTTGTGGTGGGGTGGGGTGTGGTGGTCTGTTGTGTGTGTTGTGTTGATAGATGGGATGGGAATGGGGATGGGATATGAGAGAGAGGAGAGAGGAGAGATGGTGGGGTTTTGGTATATAGTATAGTATAGTATAGTATAGTACGGTGGGTGTACGGTGGGTGTATGGTAGATTATCTATATATGTAGGGTATGGGGGGAATAAGAGGAGAATGAGAATGCAGATACAGATAGATGCTGTGTTTTGATATGTTTATATTGATTGATTGTATTTTTTTGGTGATATATTTTACTTTTTTGGTGGAAATTTGGAAATTCGTGTATGAGTAGTTATTTGTGTAAGTTGATTGATTGATTGATTGATTGGTTAGTGAGTGAGTGAGTGAGTGAGTGGGTAGGTGGGTCGGTTGGTGGAATTACGAGTGTATGTTGTATGTTGTATGTTGTATGTTAAGAGAGGAAAAGGGATTAGATAGAGGATGAGGATGAGGATGAGGATGAGGATGAGGATGAGGATGAGAAGGTGAGAGTGAGGGTGAGGGTGAACAGGTAGGTGATTCATAGAATGCTGATGTTAGATGTTGGATGTTAGATGTTAATTAGTTGTTAGTTGTTAGTTGTTAGATAGATATTAGATATTAGATATACGATACAAGATATAATTAAGATTTAAGATGCAAGATACAAGATACAAGATGTAAGATGTAAAATGTAAAATAAAACATCAAAAATTAGATACGTTTAATATCCAACCGAGCACAGATCACAAATCACAGAATAGTAGAGTAAATGTTTTGAAATGGTTTTGGGTTTTTTCGTGTTTTCTTTGCGATGCGAGGATTACGTGATTGTGAATCAGGGATTTAGGCTGGTTGGTTAAAGGGTATGTATGATTCAAGGGTGACAGGGATGAAGGGAGGGAAGAGGGAAGAGGGAGATCAAACATGCATGTTGTATGAATATTCTTGGTACGAGGTTTGGAGGTTTGGAGGGATTGGAGGATTTGGAGGAGAGGGCGTTTCATGTATAGTGGGTGTGTGAATTATGTGGGATTGTGAATTATGAATTGATGAATTATGGAGAGAAGGAGATCTTTTGGGAAGTTGGGAGTTGGGACTTGGATGGGTTTATGGATGGGTTTATGGTTGTGATTGTAGTTGTGGTTGTGGGGTTGTGGTTAGACAGTTGGGAATAGGATAGATAGAAAAGATAGAGAAGATAAGTTGATTAAGGAGGGGGATTTTGTGAAGGGGTATTGTGAATGTAAAATTGTGAAGTGGTATAGGTATTGTATTGTACGCTGGGTACACTTGTAAGGTGGATGAAGGGGTTGCGCAATAGTAGGTGGTCGGTCTCATACCCAAAAAGGATCTATGAATACCGGTTACCAACCCAGGTAGAAGTAGAATTGTGCCTGAGTTTCATTATTAGGAAATATATCATTTATCCCTGCAATATGCGGTAGGGTTTGGTCGGAGCGGGAGGTCAGGAGGTCGCTGGACGGTCGGTTGGAGATGGAGATCTGAACTGTATGCATGCATGCTGATTGGTATCTTGGGAGGGAAGGGACTTGAAGAGAAGGAGGGGTGTGACAGGAGAGGGAGGGGGATCTTCATTTTTTGCGATAATGAGGATGATGACGGAAAGGGGAGACTGTGCTGATGATATGTCTGATATGTCCGTCGATCAATGGTTCAACGGGTGTTAGACCTACAGTATTAGTGAGGGAGAGTGAGGGCGAGGGGCAGAAAGAAGGGTAAGGAGTAGGTATGAGTGAGTTTGTGAATTGAATCAGATTGGATTGATGTGAGGATGTGATGTGAGGATTTAAGGAAAGGATGTGAGTTTGAAGGAGAAAGGGAGAGAGTGTTTTACCTTCTTCATCGAGTTATTGTGATAATTAACGAAAGTGGAAAACATCAATGAGGTGTTTTTGCATTGCATTTAGGTACTTTATTATACTCGTAAAGGTATTGTTATGGAGAAATATAAAAGTTAAAATGTAAAATACAAAAATGTGTTGTTTGTAGATTGGTTATGTATAGGATAAAGTGCCACTTATATTCGAAGTACCGCTATATAAACGAAAAAAAGGGTCGAAATTCAGGTCTTCAAGATCGATCTTTGATATTGATATTGATATTGATATTGATATTGATTGATACGATATTTTATGGAATTCGATAATATTGTAATTTATTGAAGAGGTTTGAGATCTAGTCTACCTACCTATCTACCTATCTAGTAATTATCCGTTCCATATCAAGCTTGTCTGCCGGTGGCGAATGGTTTCGTAAGAACTTATTGTCATCAAAGCGTATGTAGGGGATTCACCTCTCAAGTTTCAACTGCTTCATTAACATTGATTTGCCGGTACCTTACAGAAGATTAAGAGAATTACTCGAGGGATGATATCTTATCAAGAATATCATCAATCCTTCTGCAGGTACAGGATTACTGGATCAACCTACCCAGACGAAAAGAGAAGTGCGGTCTTCCAAGTTTGACCTCTTCAGACATTCTCTGTAACACGATTTCGGATCTGTCTTTGAAGAAACAACCACAACCACAGCCACAGATATTTGACACAATGAACAAATGTACTTGGACTTGGACTTGGACTTTTCATATTGTATCTGGATCTGGATCTGGTATCTAATCTCCATTATTGGTTGATGGTGTTACAATTTATTCATCTCAGACTGCATTGCACAAAAACCCTTACAAACAAACCCTTGTTTCTCTTTTGCATTTTTGGTATCCAATTTTTTCACTCCCTTGCGATTGAAACTGCATTTGCTTGCCCCTCTTCGTTCTCGGAAATATCTAATACTTTGTATTCAATCTATTTCTAGATCTTTCCAAACACCAAGCAAGCAAGACAAGGGAAAAGAAAGACAAGGCTCTACAAGGTCATTCCAGGGTTCCGAGTTTCTTGCCCACAGTAGTTGAGTTGTGTGGAGAGAAGTTCAAATCTGTCCTTGATCCCCTCTTCCATTAGCAGCATTGGCATTCAATATCGGGACTTCCTTTCCACAGTGGGTTATGTTATGCACGCATTTGATACTTCGTATGCGTGTATCAGAGACACGATTCCATTTAAGAACTGGACCTTCTGCTGTTCCACGTCGTCGTTGTCCTTTTTTGTCTTTGCATCATTCTTCAAACTTCTTAGTAGAGGGTCTCGATCTTTTGCACGTTCCACTTTCACTCCCGACTCGTCACTCGTTGCAAATCTTTACAAACTATAATTTAAGATATCTTTAAGGCTGTGCCGAAGATATATTACTGCAATTACTGCATCAACTATCAATCATCAACTATCAACTATCGTTATTAGGATCTTTCTAGATTTCTACAACTTCATCATTCATCTATTCTGAATCGAATCTTCAATCATCCATTCAATCTTTAATTTACACAAACAAACCAACAATCTTCAGTCTCACCACCAAACTTACCTCACCACCAACCTCATCACCCCATCAACAATCAACCATGCGTTCATTCTCCTTCAGCAGCATCCGCGGTTCCTTCCGTCGCTCCGCCTCTCCCTCCAATAGCTCCGTCCACTCCAATTCCACAGGCAGAGAATCTTACGTCTCCCGCGCATCCAGTCCTGTCAATACCATCAATGCCATCATACATCGCCAACCTTCCATGGTTGATCTTGAGGAAGAACGGAAGAGCTTTGGGAGTGGCTTGGAGATCATGGAGCCCAGGCCTATTGTTTATTGGGGGGGTATGGAGGAGAGATTGGGGAGATTTTAGAGAGAGGTAGGTGCCTGGGAGAGGGGGTTAGAAATAGGGTTAGGGGGTGTATAGGGAAGGGAAGGAGTCAGATGTCTCGTTGATGTCTGGATGGATGAAATGAAGGGGGGTTGGGTACGATTGAACTTGGTGGGATTGTGAAAGAGGTCTTCAATTTCATTCCTCTATGGCGTTATGACTGAATATGGGTGGGTGGGTTAAGGTTTTGGATTATGCACTTTATTCTTCTTGGATACATGGATTTGAATTTGGATGGAGAGGGGCGTTGGCTTCCATGATTGATGGAATGGATGATTCTATTTTCTTTTTATGCAATGCAACGCAATACAATACAATCAACACAACATTATCAGTGGAGACACTTTTTTCTTGGAGGAAATATTTCTATTGTCATTGTAATTCAATACAAGCATTTCCCCAAAAATCATCTATTTTCATATTGATTGACTGGTACAAATTCTCTACATTTTTACAATATCATCACTTTACCTACTCTCAACCATTAACCCTCTAATAAACAGAGTGTATCCATCCCATTCATCCCACTCATCCCACTCACTCCTATATGTTTATTTTTATTTTTATTTTTATTTCTGAAAATATTCAATAACATAGATACAGTTAGATATGCATATTTAACTTAATTCATCGGATGAGGTATATACCAGTACTGTATCCGCTAGAGCCGCGGCCGCCACATTGTACCGACATTTGCAGGGATCAAAGAATGTTATTAATATAGAAAGTTTCATACATGGTTTTTGTTTGAAAAACATTTATGAAAGGAGGGGGTTGTTTATGAATATTGAATACTGAATAGATGCATACGAGTATTGAAAACGGAAATTACTAGGTACTTTATTAATAGAGGGGTGGGAGGGTAATTTGTTCTGGTGATTGGGATTGAGATTGTGTATGAGAGAGAGAGAGAAAGGGATGAATATTGATATGAATAGAGATAAAGATAGAAATAGGGAACGGAACGGAAAAGGAAGGAAACATAATTTATTAGTAGGGATCTCGGATCAAGGTTCCGAAGAAGAAAATTTGATATTGGATTTTGAGGCTGAGTCGCTGGAGAATCTAGAGATGGAAATGGAAATGGAAATGGAATCTGAGTTTTATTCGGGGCATTCTAGGGTCGATGCTGATGCCGAGGCTGAAAATGGAGATGGAAATGGAAACGGAAATGGAGATGGAGATGGAAACGAAGATGGAAATGGAACTGGAGGGGTTCAAAATGAGTTCGACTCGGATGGTTCGGATAACGAGGTTGACGAGGAAGAGGAAGAGGTCGCTTTGATGTCGATTGAGGCTGAGCGATCGCATACGGAGATGAATCTGGAAATGGATATGGATACGAATATGGAGATGGAGATGGAACTGGAATTGGATAAATCACAAGCTTGGAATCTCTATCTGAGTCATTTCTTATCAACGTGGAATGGGAGGAGTTATGAATTTGCTGCTGTGAGTTATGAGTTATCAATTATGAGATGTTGGGCGGAGCGGAGTGGAGCTGAGTAAAGATGAAAGGTGGAAATGCTGATGCGTTTTATAATAGATTATCTTTACGGCGAATGCGTGGCCAGATACACTGGTTGCTGCTTCTGTCCGGTACGTTTCTTTCCTCTTGTCTGTACGATTGGGGTACGAGTATGGAGAAAGACAGAGGGTGTTGTATCACGTGATGAACACTGCTGATTTGGGAGGGTTTGAATAGAGGTATCGTGAGGACTTTAGCATCAATCTGCTTCTCCTCAAGTGTTGGGAGATGGGTTGATAAGAGTCCGGATCGATTGAGGACGCTTTTGACTACGATTACTGTTAATAGGATTGCAGTGATCTGCGCTTCTATATTATGGTTCTTTGTGGTTGAATCTGAGAATGGAGGTGGTAAGAAGAGAGTGCCTTTACTTGAGTCAATAACAGACGAGGCCGCATTCCGAGATACTATCAAGATTGTCATGTTTGTGCCAATTCTTGGTTTTGGGATTCTGGAAGGCTTAAGCGCTAGTGGGAATATGCTATCGATGGAAAGGGATTGGGTGGTTACTGCTGCAGCACCGGAAGGGAAGGAATATGATCTTACGCATCTGAACTCCACAATGAGGAGGATCGATTTGAGTTGTAAACTTCTTGCGCCGATATTGATCTCGTTTCTGATCTCAGCTCTGGGGATGAGGATTGGGGTGATGGTTGTGGGTGGTATGAGTGCTGCAAGTTGGGGTGTGGAAATGTGGTGTGCGAGGAGGGTTTGGAGATCTAATATTCGATTACAGACACAAAAAGATGCTCAAGATGATGACGTACCTTCGGAGAGTGCAGAGGTTCGGGGTTTGATGAAAAAGCTTGCTCGAGGGTTTCGATTGTACGGGAAAGACTTCAAGAACTACTTTACATCGAAAGTCTGGATCCCATCTTTATCTCTATCTTTACTTCATCTTTCGGCACTTTCATATGGAGCGACATTCATTACTTTCCTACTGAATGCGGGATTCTCGTTAGATCTTATTACACTGGCACGAGCAGCAGGAAGTGTGGTTGAAATCAGTAGCACGGTTGTAACTCCTTTTGGTGTTCGACATCTATCTAAGGCTCATGGACATGGTCGATATGACCGTCTACATGGATCAGATGATTCTGATGAAGCTTTGTTACAAGGGGAAGATGAAATCGATGAATCGGTTAGAGTTACTACCGGATTGGAACGACTGGGTCTTTGGGGCCTTTCATGGCAACTTATTAACCTCGTGCGTATTTCTTCACTCTTTTAACCTAATTTACTCATTCAATCCTAGATACCTGTAACCCTCATCCTCTGGGCTCTCTCCTCCACCGTTCCTTCCAATCCTACTCTGCTGACTCGCATCATCCCATCGACCAACTCGATACTTCTTCCCCTCCTTCTTTTCACCACCCTCTCTTTTTCGCGCCTTGGCCTATGGATTTTCGACCTTACAACTCAACAACTAACTCAAACACTCGTCTCCCCTACTCATCGCTCCTCATTTACCGGTTGCGAATATTCTCTCGTTGCTTTCTTTGAGTTGGGCAATAACGTAATGGCGATGATTTGGTCAAGGCCAGAACAGTTTGAATGGGTAGCGCTTGTAAGTTTAGGTGCTGTGGTTGTGAGTGCGACGCTATATGCTGGGTGGGTAAGAAGTGTTCGAGGGCATTTGGTACATTGGGAGAGGGTCAGTGGATGTGCTGGAAAATGCGGAAGGGGATGAGATTGATGAGATATGATGATATGATAATATGAAATTTGTGAGTTATATTCCTCGCCTAACCTTACTTACCATCATGTCGTACTAAAAATGGAGAGAAGGGCTTTATACACCAATATGACAATACCCATAATCTTCTTCCACGATGACTTGGAACCAAACTTCAACAGCTACTTCACAACAAACAAGTACCACAGATCTCCCATTACAAATGTCTCCAATGTCAATATTCAAATTCCCAAAACAGCTCTACAAGACATCCTGTCCCACGTTTGTCCTACCTATTTGAGACTTTCCATATAACAAACAAACTTTAATTCATATAACCTACACGAGCCAAGTGGCAGTGATTCATCCTAAATTCCGTGTGTTCTTCTCTGATATGTTTTTTCTAACTACGTCACACATTCCGTCCGAAGATATATGTATTCTTCTCATCCATTCACTCTTTTACTTTCATCTCATGGTAATGCCGCAGCGAGCCGAGCCAGAACCGCCCTGCCCCACCTTTCAATAAGTATTCAGAATTGTTGGAATGGCCATCTTTAAGGATACATTTCTGTATGAAGTACGGTATGTGATTTTCTGATTCACAGCCGTCGCCAGTTCTCCACCTACAGCACGTTTCAGCGATAAAATTGTTTATAAGAACTCTCTATTCATCATACAGCCAGCCGTACAGCGGTTTGTCCATAAAAGCAAACAAACCTCTCCAGGTCTTACGATTTGATCCATTTCCACGAGTACATGATGGGTCTGTGTTTCATTCTATCCAACGACGCGATAAAAATAACCAAGAGGAAAAGAAATCCAGGAGATACGACTTGGAAACGCATGCTGGTTAGCTATACATGTTCATTGTCTACGGTTAACTACCATCTACAACCTTTCACCGATCCAATCGACAGAAACTTCTAGATATACAGATATTCCGCCATGCAAACCTGCATCTAAAACCTTCTTCTACCTACTGGACAAAGAAGATACAGTATAATACAATACAACATAATACCGACAGACCTCGAGCATGAGAGACCATTCTAACATTCACCATGGCAAACTCCAAAACCCCGCTACCAACATCGCGGTCTTTGTTTTCCGAAAAATGCGTCTCATCTGTACCCACAACATCAACATCAACATCAACAACCTGCATCACGACTCCTACAAGACCATCATCCCCCTCTTCTCCCTCTTCGCTTTCATCCCCACGCATACCAGTATCTTCCATATCTCCCTCAACCATCACCACCAAAATGCGCACCCTCTGGAGCACCTCCCACAGCAAACTTCTCTCCAATCTCAACCTCCCCCTCCCCCTCAACCTCCACAATCCCCTCAACCTCAAAAAATTCCACTCCTCAAATCCACAAAACCCACTAACCCACATACCCATACCTCCTTCGTCTAGTCCCAACGGTCTACCTGAGAAAATTCCACACCCATCCTCTCAATATCCACAAGATCCCCTCTCAGGCCCCTCAACCCGCTGTGCCGAATACATATTTTCGCGAGTTAACAGGGGGTTCGTGGGGCCCGATTCGTCGCTTCTGTCTGAATCGTGTGGAATTTCACCTTCGAGTTTGAGTTTGAGTTTGGATTCGCCTTTGGGGTGTACAGAGGGGTATATAGAGGGGAAGAATGGGAATGGTGTTGATATTGATGTGAATGGTGATGATATGGATATGGATACGAAGAAGAATAGGGATAAGGATGAGGGTGAGGATGAGGATAAGCAAGGAAATCATGTTCACCCCCCGAATACATGGAAAATAATACAGAAATCATATAGAGATGTGTTGGATAATCTTAATACGTACCGGTATGTTAATACTAATATAGCTAAATGCGAAGAGGTGGGAACGGGTCAGGAAAATGGGAATAGGGATAGGAATAGACCTCTGGTTTATGTTGCTATTGAGGAGGATGGGGATGGGGATGGGTATGATGGATATACCGAGGGACGATATGGTTGTGATGGTAATGGAAATGGAAGTGATGAGGGAAACCAAATTGGGAATTGGAATGGGAATGGGAATGGGAATGGTTTGGTACGTACGAGGTCGAGGGAGAGTATTGTGGAGGTTTTTACTTCTCCTCTTCCTGTTTCTTCTTCGGTTTTTCATACACATACACAAAAACAACAACAAAATAATCTCAGCAGCAAAGCACTTACACATCAAACCAAAACCAAAACCAAAACACCAACTTCTCATTCATCGAATTCTCCTCTGAAAAATCCGCAATCGGGAGTTATCAATACTCCTAGCTCAAATTATCGCTCGGATGATAGCTCGAATAATGATTCACAAGATGAAAATGAAAATGAGAGCGAGAGACGAGCGAGGATAGTAAGAGAAGTGGAGGAGGCGGTTAATGAATGTATTTATTCGTGTGGGGAAAGGGAAAGGGGAAGGGGAAGGGGAAGGGGAAGGGGAAGGGGAAGGGGAAGGGGGAGAGAGGTGCTGGTGAGGGATTTTGCGTATATGGAGATGAGGCCTGTATGTTATTCAAAGGAGAAGGAGAAGGAGAAGGAGAAGGAGAAGGAGAAGGAGAAAAGTGGTGGTGGGGTTGAGGTTACTGGGGAGAAGATGGGAAGTTGTGAAGGGGGTGGTGATGATGATGATGATGGTGACAGTGATTCACTATATGCGAAGTCTTCGCTCGATCTTGAGGATTCGAGGTATGACGAGGAGGAGTTGGAGAGTGAGGGTGAGAGTGAGAATGAGAGTGAGAGTGAGAACAAAGAGATGGAATTCGAAGTCGAGAAAAATAAGTCTAAGTCTACTACGAGTAGATCTGAACGAATATCTACAGATACATCTTCGACAACCCCGACTACAAACCAGTTATCAGACGACTTCCAGTTCAATTACAATTACAATTACAATTATAATTACAATTACAGTTACAAAGTCGGCTCCGAGCCGCTACAAGCACAATCACAATCACAGCTCTATACTCATACACAATTACAACACGCACAACCCAACCCATCTCCCCATGTCAACTTCCCCTCAACCTCCTCAACCGCCTTAATCCACCTCCCGCGTACATCTTCACATGCATGTGCATATACCTCCAATCGCAGTGACAATCGCAGTGAAAATCGCAGTGTGAAACGCAAGCTACATGAAGCCAAAGATCTTGATTCCAATCTCTCTACATCCATATTGTCAATGCCTTCTTCGATTATGGATTCAACGTATCTTCGTGGTAGCGAGATACAGGAATTTTTGATTGGGAGTTCGTTTGGTGAACTGGGAGAAAGTTTTTATGGGGGGGCGTTGGATTCTTCGGGTTCTGGTGTTGAGGAAGTCTTTGATGAGAGATTTGGGGATAGGATGGTCAGAGTGGAGGAGAGGGAGAGGGAGAGGGGTGAGTATGTGGAGGATAGCGAGAACGATGCTGGGAATTTCGAAGATGATGAGGAGGAGAATAACGAAATTAACAGCTATAATCTTGAGAATAAAGATATAGGAACAAGGTGCAACATAAACATAGAGGATATTACAGATGAAGATACAGATACAGGGATTAACGGGAACGAAAGAGACGAGAAAAGGGAAAATGAACAGGGAGAAGAAAAGGGACAGAAAATCCAATTACAACTCTCGCCCTACACATTTCCAGGGACGGATTTGTATTTATATGAAGCGATACCGATACCGATACCGAAAGCGGGAGCGGGAGCGAAATCTGCGGATGGTTGTAGGGATTTGGGTATGAGGACGGGAACGGGGATGATGACGGGAATGGGAATGGGAAGTTATAAAGGGCAGGGAAAAGGAGAGTATGAAGAGTATGGGTTGAAGAATGAGAGAAATGAAAGGGAGAAGAATAAGAGAAAATGCATAATGATGCATTTTTCACGGTCACCGACGGGGCGCGAGGGAATTGGTGGGTGTGGGGTTTGATGTTGAGGAGAGGATATATGGATGGATTTATGTTTATATCACATCATCTTATAGTACATAGAATAGGTAGGAAGAGTAATCCGGTGGTTTCGAGGTTGATAATTGATTGAGAATTTGAGATTTGAGGGAGAATAGTCAGAGTGTGGATAGTTTGAATAGTCTGAATAGTGTAGTGTGGGATTGTGGATTGTGGATTAATCTAGAAGACTAGATATCTGGCTGGGAATTATGGAAATAATGGAAATAGGGAAGATTGGGGAAGATTGGGGAAGATTGGGGAAGGGAAGGAAGGGTGGAGTAGAACAGAGGAGAGTAGAGTAGAGTAGAGTAGAGTAGAGTAGAGGAGAGTACTGAGAAGAGCGAGATTCTTGGTTAGATGATGAATGGAGGATGATGGGTAATGGAGGATGGAGGATGGAGGATGGAGGATGGAGGATGGAGGATGGATGAGGTGGCTTTGGAAGTTATTGGGGGAACAATCAGATCTTCGAAAGTTCAAGTCGGGACTAGAGTGCTAGAGTGGTGGTTTTGGGATGTGGTGAGAGTTTGTTGATATGAGGGGAAGGGAAGAAAGAGTACATATATAGTAAAGTACATGCATACATGAAGTGAAGTTGTTATGTTGTATGGAGTATTGAAAGAATTGAGAGAATTTGAGGCCAAAAGGAAGAAAGGAAGAAAGAAAGAAAAAGTCGTATATTCTATATCCTATACTCGTATTGTATGTATATACTCGGTATTTATATACAAGAAAAGCTTGTTTTAACTCGCTTTTGGAGATTCAGTAGTAGTATGAATTTTGGATTCAGTACGTAAAGCGAGTTTAGGTCAGTTTAAGTAGATAGGTAGGCAGATGATCTTACATTGAGGATATACTTCTCCTTAGAGATGATTTATAATTTTATTCTATATAAACATACCTAGTCATCTCCAACTCGTTGTGCGAGCCTGAGAAATTCAGCGTGAGATGTGATATTTGTGAGATTTCTTACTTGGCAAGTAATAGTGCTGGTGCCCCTTTATTTCACACCAATGCCTTTCTCTGATTTGCCTGGGTTTTTATTGTTAATTTTGTTCCTCTTTTTCTTTCTCTCCTCTTTACGGCAGTTCTTGGCGTTAATTGATAAAGATATTATTATCTGATGAATATCTATGCTTCCTGTTCAGGTAACCTTGTTATGATGTTATGTTTTAAGGGCTTGAGTCTACTCGGAATTTGGACCTGGATAGAAGCAATTCGTTGTTATTATGTAGATCTAGCAGTAAAGCTCCAGAGCTAAAATGGATTTGTATTCAATAGTCTATTTGAAAACGGTTTAAGTGTTTATACAGCATCGCTATAGAAGGTTTCTTGCCCTCAAGTTAAGTATGCTTGCTACTACACTGAAAAACTGCAAGACTATGAACAAAATGAAAATGGACAATTTGAGTATGCCGAATCAACTCAGGTCAAAAACTGTCCAGTAGCTTGAATCTCAAACGAAGCTCTTGATAGAAATCATATCTCCCACTGATTGTAGATGACTAGTTAACTCCTTTCATCAAGAACCCGAGTTTCGGTAAGACTGTGTGATGTGAAGAGTAACCGAACAATGTGTGGTAGAAAAAAAGCAGAAACAACTGAACTACAATATCAAAGCCACAATTACAAGCTTTCCTTCCTAGTCACTCTCTCATCCAATTCTTGAACAAGATCCCAAGATAACCCCCATACCTCCACTTCCACATCCATCCTCCTCAGCTCAAGTCAAAAACAAAAAAAAACATACAACAGTGGGGATTCGCTGGTGGTCACCCACCCAACTACTAATCCACCGATCTGAAGCTTGTGTATGGCAGAGCGGACGGGATGCCCAATTCTCTTCAGTCTATGGTCGTATGTGGTTGAAAACGGCACTTGTGAGCATATATTACAGCTAAGATTATCGGTGTTGGGGGAATGGAAGTTTCGAAAAGATCTGGGGAGTTAAGGCAGGCTATATCGATGTTCTTGGTTGGGGTTTTATAATGTGTAAGATATGATGTGAGAAGGGAACTAATACGCCATAACGGGGAAACTGTATCATGTAGTTGACACAATCCTGGATTGAACATATATACAACATCATCCTCGTTATGCCCTATTATAAAGTAAAGCATTATATGGAGAGATCACTATATTCACACTTGTAGATATTCAATTCCGAGTAAAGAAATCGAATAATGAAAAAGTAATGCAAATAGCCATCACCTAATTATATCCTTTATCCAGCGAATATAATCACTACTTGTGTATATATAAAATATATATCTCTCTTTTTCTCAGCGGCCTCTCTTATATATTCTAAACTAACAGATATTGATAGGTTCATCTCATTTCAATATAGACCTTGCTATAAAGGATTCATTAATGGTTTTGAAGAGCTATCCTCCAATATAAATCTTTTCTTCAATTTAATTGAAACTCCAAATGACTTTTGATAGACAACTTCACCAAAACCTCGGGTGATTTATTATCCGGGCCTAATAAGGCACAAAGGCCATTTCACAATGAGTGCCGAATAAATTATGGGGGAATGGGTAAGTTCGCGTCAAGTCAATTCAAATCCAACCCAACCGCGTCCCATCAATCGATCCTGTGCATCCTACAACAACTGGAAATACGGAAATACATAATTCATTATTTAAAAAAATTTCAATTCGAAGAAATAATACAAACTGATGCTTTGCTTTGTGATTATATTCACAAATTAATAATTCTATTGTAACCTTTATCTATCCATCTTCACTTTCTCAGATCTTTATTTGTTGCATTTGCGACATCAACCATCACTGTCTTACACAACTCAATCCGAGATCCCTTGGAACTAGGTAGCTTTCAAGATGTCCTCCTCCAGGAAGCGTGGACGACAGGAGATGGAAGCTACTGAGGTTCCAAAAGAACCAAGTATGATTGATCGTCTTCGGAATATGTGGGAGTTTGCAAATCTTGCGCAATGGATTTTCATCTTTGGCAGGACTGTCAAAATTGATGAGAATATTGGAATCGAGGTAAGATCTCTCAGCCTTCCCTCTAGCCTTACTTGAATACTGTTCCAATTCTAAACATTTATTCCAACATAAAAGGAACTTGAGATGGAATGTTCGAAAACACACTCAACTGTTCTGCCAGAGATTGGCCTTGCTTTGTTGAAATTTGTCTCATCTCATCGAGGGCTCACGTAAGTTATTTCCTTGAATCTGTTTCCTTCCTACCTTTCCCTGGGACTTTACTGATTTGCATAGTCCTGAGATTTTCGATGAGTATACAAGAAGACAATATGTTGCCAAAGCACCCGAGCGCAATCCTTATGGTACTGAGGAAGAACCCGCAAAGTTCGCAGAATTCGATGCTTTTAACAAGGCAAGCACTTACCGATTTACTCTCATCAGCTTTTGTTAATAGTTATTACAGATTCGCATTTTGCAGCAACTTACTCAATGGGCCATGATCAGTCCGGATCGTATTCGTGAGAGAATGGAAGAGACTAAGGACACCGAGCAAACTTCTTGGGTAAACATCGATTCAGTCAACTATCAATACCGAATCTTACTGACATCTGGGAACAGCGCATTGAACCTTGTGGATGGGACTCGGATGATCGCGAATACTTCGTCTTGGACGACAATCGACTTTATCGTCGTACTGAACCTTCACCACCTCCTCCACCCCCTCCTCCAGCTCCAACATACAAAAAGAATTCAAAGAAGGGTAAGGCGGCTGCAAGGGCAAGTAAACGAAGAAAGACAACAGACGCAGTCGAGAGTGAAGCCGAAGGACCAGCACAAGTTCCGGTAGAAGAGAATATTGACGATGGGTTCGGAGGAGCAAAGTGGGAATGCATTGCTGTTTCGTTCGAAGAGTTCACCACATTCGCGGCATCAATGGAGAAAACCCGCGATCCAAATGAGAAGATTCTGCGAAAACGTATTGTGGATCAAGTCCTTCCGCTATTAGAGAAGCAAGAAGAAGCTCGGAAACGCAAAGAAGCGCAAAAGCAACGCGAGTTGATCAATATCGAAAAGCTGGCCACAGCAAAGAGATCTAGCAGAATTGCTGGTAAGATGGAGCAACAAAAACAAGAAGAAGAGACCAGAGAGGCGGAACGCAAGAAGCAGCAGGATCTAGCAATGGCAAAGAAAGAACAACAGAAATGGCTTAAGCTGGAGAAAGAAAGAGAATCACGAATGATGACTAGGGAGCAGCGGGTAAAGGAGAGAGAAGCACGTCGCATTATCCATGAGGATGACTTGGCCAATCTCTCTGAGGATAGTAGAAAGGTTGGATCGGGCGAAGGTCGTCTCTCGGAACGCCATCTAAAGGCCGAAATCGAAAGAAAGAAGCAGGCTCTCGAAGAACTTAAAGGTGAAGAGGATTGGATATTCGATTGCATCTGCGGTGCTTATGGTCAAATCGATGATGGTACCCACAGTATTGCTTGCGAGAAATGCAATATTTGGCAACACAGCAAATGCGTTGGCGTCAGTGAAGCAGAGGCTGATCGCGATGACTTTGAGTTTATCTGCACTACCTGTCAACGTCGTGCCGAAGATGCGGAAAGGGCTAAAACTCACCCACCAATCAAGATCAAACTCAATCGGCTCGGCTCATCATCCTCCCCAATGCCACCAAAACAAAATGGCTTATCGATTCTGGGTGATGGAGCTATGCCAAATGGTAGCCCATCAGCAGTTCCAGCTTCACCACAGAAAGCTCTACCTCAAATGCATCTGTTCTCTACTACTAACGGCGCACATAAGCCAGCACATTCGCCGAAGGCATCTTCATCTCAATCTCAAACCAATACTGCTAGTCGACCTCCACCGATCCTACCTCCAAAGTTCAATAGAAATGAGCGCGCAGGTTCTCCGGTTGGTAAATCCGATGTTAGATCATCCATTGAAATTCCCGTCGGAGAAAGTCCATCTCTACCACGACACAACGGTCTAGCTAATACTAATCCTTTCTCATCCCCCGCTCCTCACAGCCCAACTTCTCTTCCGCCTCCAAAGAACTTGACTACGAATGGCTTTCGGTACAATCAGTCTCCTTCTAAGCCTCAAAGTTCGCCAATATCATCGCCAATTCAGCAAAATGCGGATTTGCCCACTCTCAAAAATAATGGAGATGTATCAATTCAACCCCTCAACGGCTTTCATCGCGAGCACAATGATCGTCGTAGTTCATTCAACTTTTCATCACCACTTGCAGGCGTTCCGGTACTGACACCATCTCAAAAAAACCAATCGATTCCAAGCTCATCATTCGAACAAAATGGAAATGCTACACCAAGTGGACAAGCCTCAAGATTTAATATGATGTCTGCATCATCTACAGGATTAGATCAAGATCCACTTGATCCAGGTCATGCATCGGCGTTACCCTCATCAATCAGTGGAATATCCCCTACAAAACATTCTCCCGCGCGTCCAACATCAAATAGTTCATCAACACCCACCATTCTACCTCCCATCGCTCCTCTATCACCAAGTCCACGGTCACAAAACCTTACTCCACCAGTGAAGCCTTCGCAGCCCCAACCGAGTCAGAATACTGCTCCTTGAACCACCTGATTTTGGACAACAATAATTTCGAGGATTTGGCCACAACGATTCTAATTTCAATTTCCAGTTGAACAGTCAAGATTGAGTTTGTCTTTCAACACAATTCATGTTTCCTTTTTCTTCCGCCACAGATCATGTTCGATCTTGCATTGTACCAATTCATATATCATTCATCTATGCGAGATTCCTTCACCTTTTCCCCTGTATTAAAGTTTGTGTGGCGTTGGTAATTGAAGGGATTAGAGGGACATAAAATGGCGAATTTGCATTTGATGAGGATAATGAATGGAATGCCTCTTTTTTTCAAGGTGGGGATGGATGTATGTGTGTTTACGAGTGTATGAGGGATGTTGTTAGATGGGTGAATGATTGGATGCATATATTCGCTGTTACTGTGTCTTATTCGTTTAAAGACGGGGCCTCGAATTGGAGTGGATGAGGAGGGGTAGGGGTGGGAAAGGGATTGAGATTGAGATCCTAGTACGTGCTGATAACTGATAATCGAGGAACTACTCGGTACTACTAGGTGCATTGATTGATAGCGAGATGATGAGATGAGATTATAAAATATCAATTGTATTTGTATGATTTTAATTGGTTGTAAGATACCTTCCTCTATGTATGCTTGATTAAAGTTGATTTGCTTTCTATTTGATATGTATATGGTTATATGTATATGTAGTTATAGGGTGTGAGAAGGGAGAGAGGTAGGTACTTGTGGTGTGGTTGGTATATTAGGTATATTGTGTGGATATCCGAGTATATGTATCTATGTACGAGTATAATAATAATCTATGAATTTGGAACTATAAACTCTAAACTTCAAACTAAACGTAAATTGATCGACGATCGTAGATTTCAAACTAACTAACTGATTGTCTTTTGTTCTCTGGAATAGAAGGAATAGAAGGAAAATAGATGTGGAAGGGATATGGAGGGGATATGGAGGGGATATATATGTTTGGTAGATAGATAAATAAGGAGATAGATAAATAGATGGATAATAGAAGAGTAGAAGAGTATGAGATAAAAAAGAGAAAGATATAAGATATAAGGAGAGGAGAGGAGAGGAGAGGAGAGAGGAGAGAGGAGAGAGGAGAGTATGATATGATATGATATGACATAATAATAGAAAACAAAATAGGAAAGAATA